TCGCGGAGAATCCTCGGGGCTCCGGAGGAGTTCTCGCCTACATCGTCCATATAGGACGACTCGGGAACTCAACTCCTACCCCGGGCAGCTCACCTATCCCCTTATGCCCAGGGGAAAGGTATCAAGCCGTTTGACAGCAGATGCTAGCTGTCAAACCGGCTTTTACGCAAAACAGGCGGGAGGCAGCAAACAGCTGCGAACGACGAAATCGCCTGCCACCGGAAGTCCTCTTGATTCTATCCCTCTGTTAATGCAGCCCAGCACTGTGTTGGCTTTTTTGGCAGCTGCAGTACACGGCTGTCTCATATTTAAGTGATTGTCCACTAGGACTCCGAGATTCCTTTCACAGTTACTACTATTGAGCAAGGTACCCCTATACTAAACCTGTACTTTTGGTTTTTCTTGCCTAAATGTAGAACCTTAATTTTTTCACCATTGAATTTCATTTTGTTAGATAGCGCCCAGTGTTCAAGTCTGTCATTGTTTGTGTTATGTATTAACTCAATTGCATAAGGTCTGTTATAAAAATGGTTAATTATTTTTTCAGTTTGAATCCTCGACTGTCTCTCTGTGTATACTGTTAGCCTATGATTTAGGCGGGAATGTATACTTTAAAATCATTAGCTGCCACCTATTGTCGGTCCGTATAAATGTAAGTCAAGTGACTGCTAGAGCCGCTTCTGTGTGGATTGAATAAACTAGCTTTTACTTTCACTCCTGTGTCTTCAATGCCTCGCCGTTCTCACTACACAACAGTTTGCCCTTACAACCCACTATAGGGTCGCTGCAATGCCCTCCTCTCCACTCATCCCGCCCAGCTATAATCCTGTAATAATTGGGCCTGCTCCCCAATTGCCCATCATGCTCCCTCCTGTTTACTTTCAAAAACTCTCTTGACCTCGAGTTCTGGAAAGAAGCCAGGTTTTTTTTGCCTCCAGGCCATATGGCAATGTTCCAAATTTCATGAGTGGGACAAAATGGCAGCCACCAGACTGTGGAAACCTTGTTAAGGCAGGAGAACAAAGTAGTTTATCTCCAGACTGTGCAGCAGTCTGAATATGGCCACCATTTTGTACCCACCTATAAATAAGCAGAGGACAAAATGGTGGCCACCAGACAAACTGCTTCATTCATTTGCCTTAGAGAGGTCTCCACAGTGCTGTAGAAATTTCTGAATGCTGCAGAGTGCAGAGTTTGTTCAGGCAGCAAAATTAAGTAGTTTATCCCTGGACCATGCAGCAATCACCTGAATGCGACAAAATGTGCTACCATGCCATGCAGCCACACAAAAAAAGGAAGTCCAGTACTCTGAAAGTTCTCAGTTCTTCAAAAGGTGAGGAGAAAAAGTGTTTGGTAGGAATTAGACCTAAGGCCTCAGAGAAACTGATGGGAGTGGGAAAAGGCCTGAATGGACCCAAGGGGTGGGAAGTGGAGCATGTTTTATTTCAGGGGTGGGGAGGCCTTGGGCCTGAACCTGTAGTAGGTTTCTAACATCCTCCACCACCCAGGAGGCAACCTATACTTCACTTAATGGCCCACACATTCATTTTATGTTTCATTGGGGGTGAGCAGAGATGGGGGAGGGTGTTAAGTGACATGTTTCACCTAATAACAGCCATGACAAGCAATCATAATGTATGAGTGCCATTATAGTTGTATCTTGACGACTACCTGTAATTGAAATGGAATGGAGTATAATGGAGAGTGAAATAGTATAGTGTAGTGTAATAGGAGAACAGAACAGAAAAGAATGAATCTATATCAA